GATGTCTTACCCAGTGTGTGTTAAGTTTTGCATTGACCCGGTATTAGATGTTTTGGAGATCCAGTATTTGATAGAAATTATGCAATTTATGATCCTCACCTATTAGTCGCCGAATGAATTAATGAATCTTGGCTGCTGCTATTACCGGGTCGCATGGCAGAGCCCCAGAATGATACCAGTCCCAAGGAAGAGGGACGACAAGACACTCGCCAATGTCGTATCTGCCTTGCTGGAGTTGAGGAAGAACCCGAATTAGGTCGACTCATTAAACCGTGTCGATGCAAGGGCTCCATTCGAGTGAGTTTGCGCTCAATCAAGACTAAATACAGCTTCATCAGAGCTCTGTTAATCCCAGCCATTATTATTTCATAGTATGTTCATGTAAAATGCCTCAATACCTGGAGAAAAACGGGAAGTTCGCTGAACAGTAACTCATTTTGGGCATGCGGACAGTGCGGGTTCAAGTATAACCTAGCTCGCACGAAGATTCTTGGACTTTCTACATCACCATGTATGTAGCACAGGCTCCGGTGGATGCTTACTCATGCTTTCGACAGGGGTGATGTATCCGACGACCGTGGTCCTATTCTTCATCATCGTGTTCGCTGCATCATTTGTCGTATCGTTCTTTCTACCTGAATTGGATGACCCATTACTCGTGGTTCCACCACCTCAGCCGGACATAGGTATTACGTGGTGGCATAGCCCGATCGGCATCGCAAGCGATGTCATCCGCGAAACTGTCCATACTTTTGCGGAAGTTAGTACTCCCAAGGAGGTTCTAGAAGCTCAACACCAGCAGCGTTTGCGGGACGTAGAGGATACAACGCTTTGGGGAAGGTTCAAACAACGAGTACCGTCACTCCGAAAGGAAAAGAAGCGTAATCGTCCCGTATTAAGAAGGGATCCAAGAGCTCCATATTCACCTTCAGAAGATGGGCCTCGCATTACCTTTTGGGCGCGATTACTTCGAAAATTTATGCTAGGGTTGTCTTTGGTTGGCATTCTCTCATTCCTCAAGTAAGTACGATATGCACGCGCCGGTATCCGTAATCTAAACACCTCTAGTCTGCTGATAACGTTGTCACTTTTTGGTCCGTTGCAAATCGCTCGGGCCCGTTGGATACGGGGTGGACGGAGGGACGGAGGGGGTCTACGAGACGTCGGCACGATCATCATAGTGAGTTGAATTTACTAATAATATTTACACCTTCGTATTGATGTCCA